CTTTATCAAGTTGGTGAGCTATCTGCCGAAATGCTTCCCGCCCCGGCGACATTAAGTAAAGAGAACCTGGGATTCCTTTTCACTCACTGGCCAGAGAATGGTAACAAACGCGATGGTGTTTCAAAGAAAACTCGATCATATATACGTCGAATTCCCAAGGTATTAAGTGCTCCAATTGAATCAGGAAAGAGAGTGTTTTGCACATCATTAACATGACACCGCTGCTCGGTGCCGAACATGCAATTTTAAACAACTTGTACTCTAATGATCTATGCTTTGGTATTATCACAAGCGAAAAGTTGCCAAATCTGTGTGAATTTCCAACGTTTGTAACGCTGGGTCAAATATCCGTGAAACTTGACGTGAATCAGAACAATTTCGTATTCAGCGCCCAGCAAGTAAGCTTGATCAAACGTTTTCATCACGTTATTTTTGATGGTGTCCTGGACATTTTGTCAAGTAAGTCTTATTTAATGCTGGGTGACAATCGGCCTATGTACAGCTATATTGTACCCGTTCTAAAATCAACGAAATCCATTGACTTCAATATTATAATGGATCATGAGGATATAGTTGACGTGAGCAATGTGCTCACCAACGAAGAGAAACAAAGTTTAGTAGTCAACAACGAAACTTACTTGGAGAAGATCGTCACTCCTGATTACAGAGAAAGAAATCGGGTAGGCATACAAATAAATTATGATTCACTTCGATAGGCTAATAATTAAAACCATAAATTATTTTAGCATCATTTGGTAATGGAAGTTTGTGAATATATCACGGCAGCATCACCTTTTCCCAACAGTGAGTTCCAAAGTTACGCCGATTATTATGAGTGCAAGTACGACAGGGTGTTGGTAAATTGTAATTTACCTATGTTGTCCGTAAAACCGCTCTCCTCCAATATGAATTGTCACAAGCCTCGAGGCCTTGCAACAAAAAGGAAGCGTGAGGAAACATTTGAGATGTTTGTGCAGCATTTTAGTCCCGAGTTGTGCGTTAAGCAGACCTTACCGGCGCAGTTGTGGGTTTCGGCGACATTACTGCCATCAATCATGCATAGAATCCATCAATTGTTAATTGCTGATGAATTGAGGACCCTAATTGCAAAACAAGCAAATTTAGGTATGTTTACGCCGTATATATCCCCTAAAATAGTTTTTAGAATATATTTTTTTCAGGTTCATGCACTGTAATGAATTGGGTGCCGCTCAAGGTGGATTCACGCGTAATAAATTACAAATCAAACGTCGCCGATGAAAGTTTACGTAAAAATGATTCCCTCTTCGATGAAAACATGCCCACCGAAATGAAAGCACAAGAAATTTCTGATATGATCACCAAGTTCACACCAGGTGATCATATTGTTGATGCCAGTATTAACAAGACTTTCAATGACGTAATGATAGACGCTCAGTATCCTTGGGAAGCAGAAGTTGAACCAATCGATTGTTACCGAAACCTGGACGTTACTCTCGGCGACATTGAATTATTTGCGAAGTTTATTAACACGCGTTATGAAACTGCTCCCAATGCTAACCCAACCCCAATGATTCAAAATAATGGTTGCCTTGCAATAAACTACACTCCACCGGAATATCAATACAAAACCATCGGATTATTATCAGAAAAATCTGCCAATCACAAAGGTCCTGAATTATGTTCGGTATATGAAGCTTTAACAACAGCTAAAGCTCATGATATTGTGAATTTGGAAAGGTTGGAAACCTTGGGAGACTCTTTTCTAAAGATGGCTGCGTCATTGTACGTCTTCAATAAATTCCCGCATTTTTCTGAAGGGCAAGCAACGGAATTGAAGGGTAAACTCGTTAGTAATCGGAATTTATTCTATTTGGCACAAAAACATGGCATTGGTGGACTGATCGTGAACAGTGAATTCAACCCGAAGGACGAATGGCTTCCACCTGGATACTGCACCCCAGTGGAAGTGCAAGAAATGATCCTTCGACAAGACGCATCTATCGCGTGTTTATTTGAGATTGATATTCCAAGGGATGAGCAAATTTCGGGTGAATTAAGTGATGCAACATTCGAACTCATCCAAGATCGCCGAGAGGATATCGAAGAGGATGAAACGCAGGACAATGGATATGCATCAATGTGTCATTACATTGGTAGACAGGTGATTGGTGATAAGACGCTGGCAGACGTAATTGAGTCTATTATTGGAATATATGTGGGCGCTATGGGTATAAACGGCGGGATGAAAATTCTTGAATGGTTGCGCATTATTCCCGAAGACGCGATTAAGGCTACATTCGGCGCGACTATACCGAATCCAATCATTAAAGAAAATTGTTCGCAGAGAGATATTACCGCACAACTGTCGAACTATGAAGCGAGCCAAGTGGAGAAGATTTTGGATTATAACTTTAGAAATCGCGCGTTTCTGCTACAAGCTTTAACGCATTCGTCATACAATGGTAATCACATTACGCAGTCATATCAGCGTTTGGAATTCATAGGCGATGCGGTTTTGGACCTTCTGATCACGCTTTTTATTTTTGAGAATAACACGCAGTTGAACCCGGGTGACTTGACTGATCTCAGATCTGCACTGGTGAATAATGAAACTTTTGCGGCGTATATCATTAAACTAGGCTTGCACAAATATCTGAAGCATTACAATACGAAACTGACGTCACTCATCGCCAAATTTGAGTCGTTCCAGAATATGAGGAAGAATGAAATTACGGGCGATGTGCTCTTACTTTTAGATGAAGATAATTTACACTTGGCGGAAAATGTGGATGTTCCAAAGGTGAAATACAGTTATACAAACAGTTATATTTTATAATAAGTGTATTTTTATTAGGTATTGGGTGATTTATTTGAATCAATTATGGGTGCAATATTCCTCGATTCCGGCATGGATTTACTGACAGTTTGGCGTGTGATACACAAAATAATGTGGCGAGAATTCGACTCATTCTCAAAAGATATCCCGAAGAATCCGATACGCATGTTGCATGAAACTCTAGCACCGCTTCGACCAAAGTTCAGGTAAATTCATTATTCACTTAGCAAGTAATATAAATCTAATCATATTTTAATCCCTAGTGATCCTGTGGATGTGGACCAAGGAAGTAGGACAATGATCAAGTTAGATTTCAATCTGCAGGGCACGCTTACCCGTGTGCACGGTTTCGGAGATAACAAAACGAACGCAAAGAAAGCAGCGGCTAAAGTAGCGCTGCGTTTACTCAGCGTTAAAAAGAAGTAAAATGGTTTCGTAACATCGATAACATCAAAAATTCCATGGCGTTATACATTAATTTCATTAGATTTATGTACTATATTAAGTTTGCACGCGTCAAGTTCTATACGATTGTTATATTTTTCATGAATTATAATTTTAACTAACCTTCATTAGTCCGTTAGCTCGCTGAATTCTTGCGCTTTTTCGACGGTCGTTCGAATACCTGCCTGCTGCCACCAGCCTGAGACGAATGAAACTTGATGTTTTGCGGAGTTTCATTCGTCCATGGCGAATCAAACTGCGTCGTGTCTTGATCAACCAAATGTGTGTATTTCGTCCGGCCAGATCTGCCAAAGTTTTTCACCTGCATCACTTTCGGAAGGATGGTTTTGTCGAAATGATCGTCAAGCGTTGCTTGTGAAAAGTCACGTTTATAAACGTCGTCATCTTCGTTGAGGTAGAACGCGCCGCGGTGATAATATTTCTGTAGGAATTTGTATTTGCCTTTCACCGCTTTGTTGGTGACTTGTTTCGGATTCAAACGTAATTCCAATCTACGCTCTTCTTCGGTCATATTACGAAGTCTTTCCATGTCTAATTTTTCTTTCTCGACTCTGAAACATTAAATTTTGTCACAAATTCTTTAGGTTTTTTGAAGTTAAAAAAAAACTTACGCTTCACGTTCTTCTCGATCACGTTTAATCCGTTTTAATTCTCGAAGTTTCCACGCTTCGTACTCGATTTCATCATTATCATCATCAGTTGAAACATCGTCAATACTCGGCTCATGCGATTCTTTCTCTTTTAATTGCTGTTCCTTTCTGATGCTATCCTCCACCATCTTCACAGTTTGTCTCCGTCGATCGTCCGCTTGTTTCTGTGCTTCAAGTTCCAGTTGTTTTTCTTTCAACTCTTGCTTTTCTTTCTCAATAACAGTAATCCTGTCGCGCTTTCGAACAAACACAGGTTTCAATCTAGGGCCTGTTTCTTCCTCTGAATCAGTGTATTCTTCATATTCTGAACTATCTGAGGATTCTGTGCAAGACTTTTCCTCTTCCTTTGCCATAATTTCATGTTCTTCTTGTTTTATCAACATTTTCTTCTTTAAAGTTCACGTTTACGCTCGATTTCACCATCGCTAAGCTCCGCTTCTGATTCATCATCATCAGGAGCTTCCAAAGTATGTTTTGGCTCTAAAATAATACATTGTACACACTGATTCTATGATTTAATTAAAGATATTAATTTACCTGGCAATTGAACACTTTCTGGTTCTTCCTCTTCACTCTCCTCAAGAACTTCTGGTTCCATAATATGCCGACGCCTTTCCGGACGTACTTCAGTATCTATCTCCCTGATTCTAAGCCTTCTCAATCTAGGATCGTTAAGGTCTTCATCATCACTGTATTCTGGGGCAGGTGATGGAGGCTGAATCTTAGCTTGATTTCTTTTTTCCAAAAAGTCGTCATTATCAGAATCCGAATCTGATCTGTAGTCTTGTGCATAATCAGGCCGTTTACCAGAAACATATCTATGCACTTTTACTTTTTGCATGGACATTTGTCCTAAAATTTTAGTTTATGAAATAAAATAGTAAAAATTAAATCAATTTGCTACAAACCTTTCTCATTACGCACTGGAACGGCTCCAGCCGTACTCTGAATACCACTTGCCATTATTATAATGGTTTATTTAATAATTTTGACATAAATAATTACAAAATTTTAGAAGAGCTAATTTTTTACACAAATGTAGAACGTTTGTTTTCGTCTTGGGGTTATGTTCACAATTTTATGGGCAGAGCATAGCGTCCTTGGTTTTAAAAGAGGTTAGACCGTCAATAACGACAAACAACGTTCTGGATGTAAAGAAAAATACTTATAAAAGGATATAAATCTTCTTCCAGGGACTGTGGCGGATATAATTTATCAAGATGCCTCGTATTATGATAAAAGGCGGCGTTTGGCGCAACACAGAAGTAAGTTTATATTCACCTCAATAGTGTGCATTACACTTGATAGCAAATTAAATAAAATACTTACTTTTAAATGTAAAATATCATTTGTTCACTTTAGGATGAAATTCTCAAAGCGGCGGTTATGAAATATGGCAAAAATCAATGGTCGAGAATTGCATCTTTACTACATAGAAAGTCAGCAAAGCAGTGCAAGGCAAGATGGTTCGAATGGCTTGACCCAAGCATCAAAAAGACTGAATGGAGCAGAGAGGAAGATGAAAAGCTGCTGCATTTGGCCAAGTTGATGCCCACTCAGTGGAGGACAATTGCACCAATTATTGGAAGGACTGCTGCTCAATGTTTGGAAAGATATGAATATCTACTGTAAGTAATTAAAACATTGTGAAATAAATGTGTTATGCACATATAATTAATTACAGGGATCAGGCTCAAAAAAAGGAAGAGGGTGAAGATGCAGCTGATGACCCTAGGAAGCTTAAACCTGGTGAAATTGATCCTAATCCTGAAACAAAGCCTGCCAGACCAGATCCAAAGGATATGGATGAAGATGGTAATATTTATATTTTACTTAAAATGCTTAACTGATTATTAATTTTGATGTGTTTATTAGAACTGGAGATGCTGTCAGAAGCTAGAGCAAGATTAGCCAATACTCAGGGCAAGAAAGCAAAACGCAAAGCTCGCGAGAAACAGCTCGAAGAAGCACGGCGTCTGGCTGCGTTACAGAAGCGCCGTGAATTGCGCGCGGCAGGCATTGAAGTTAATCCGCGACGTAAAAAGAAACGTGGTGTCGATTACAATTCGGAAATTCCTTTTGAAAAACGCCCTGCTATTGGTTTCTACGACACTTCCACTGAGCACATTGATCCAACCGCGCCGGATTTTCAAAAACTTCGTCAACAAAACCTGGATGGCGAGTTGCGATGCGAGGTTGAAGAACGCGAGCGCAAGAAGGACAAAGAGAAGCTCAAACAACGTAAAGAGAATGACATTCCGTTGGCTATGCTACAAAATGATGAACCAGCACGCAAACGTTCTAAACTAGTATTGCCATCTCCACAAATCTCCGATCAGGAGCTCCAACAAGTTGTAAAGCTTGGCCGTGCCAGCGAAGTTGCACGTGAAGTTGCTGCTGAAAGCGGTGTGGAAACCACGGACACTTTGCTCAATGATTACTCGATCACACCGCAGGTTGCGGCAACTCCGCGCACACCAGCTCCTCAAAGCGATCGCATTCTGCAGGAAGCCCAAAACATGATGGCGTTGACCCATGTTGACACGCCACTTAAAGGTGGTCTTAACACTCCACTTCATAATCCCGACTTTAGTGGAGTTATGCCGCAAAGTTTAGCTGTTGCTACTCCAAACACAGTTATAACCACTCCGTTTAGAAGTACCAGGAGCGACGGTGGTGCGACTCCTAGTTCTACTTTTATGACACCAAAAAGTGGTGCTGTTGTACCCGCTGGTCTTCAAAGTACTCCAACTCCTATAAGAGATAAGTTAAACATCAACACCGAAGATGCTATAGCTGAGGCCATGACACCAATGTCAGCTTCTTCCCAGAAGTCCTTCAAGGAGCAGCTCCGAATGGGTTTGTCCACTTTACCGCAACCTAAAAACGACTACGAAATTGTAGTTCCTGAACAAGAAGAGGAAAAGATCGAAGAGCCTCAACAAATGCAAGTCGAAGATCAAGCCGATGTAGATGAGAGACAACTGGAAGATGATCGTAAACGCGCTGCTGCTGAATTAGCCCTTAGATCACAGGTTATCCAACGTTCCTTCCCACGACCCAGCGAAGCTAATATGTCTATGTTGAGACCTGCAAACGAATCGCATTCTCTTTCAGAAATCCAGAAAGCTGAAGAACTGATTAAGAAAGAAATGATTACGATGTTACACTACGACCAGTTGAAAAATCCCGTGCCAACAACCGCAGCATCCAAGAAGAATAATCAAGCGCAAGCTCAACAACTTGCTTACTTAGAACAATATCCCTATGTGGATCTCCGTAAGGAAGAACTAGAGCAAGCTAAAATTGTACTGCAGCGCGAGATGGAAGTCGTGAAGCAAGGCATGAACCATGGAGATTTATCAATGGAAGCATACACGCAAGTGTGGGAAGAGTGTTTAAGCCAAGTTTTATTCCTACCCAATCAAAATCGTTACACGCGTGCAAATTTAGCTTCAAAAAAAGATCGCTTGGAGTCGGCTGAGAAACGATTGGAAATCAATCGCAATCACATGAGTCGCGAAGCCAAACGCGCTGCTAAGATGGAAAAGAAACTGCGGATTCTCACAGGCGGGTATCAGACTCGTGCGCAGACGCTGATCAAACAATTATGCGAGTTGTACGAGCAGGCGGATCAATCTACGTTGGAGTTGAATACGTTTAGGTTTTTACAGGAACAGGAGAAGCAGGCACTGCCGAGGAGAGTGGATACACTTACGGAGGACGTGAATCGCCAGATTGAGAGGGAGCGGGCGCTGCAGGAAAAATATGGTGCTTTGCAAGAGGCGGTGAGAGAAGTGCAACTGAAGTATCAGTAGCTTAGCAATTTCGCAATTCTTTGTCAAACATTTATATAAAACGATCTTTCAACGACTTTTTTGTTGTGAAAATAAAGTAATAACAGCATTTATAGGGTTGGCTGTTAGTTTGCAGTTGCAGCGTTTACGTAACAAACTTGGAAATCTTTTATGATCGACAAAAATTCCTCGGTTTTCAAAGTGGCATAGATTGCTTTTTCGGCTTCATGGACGGCTTTCTGTAAATTTCTGCGTGTATCACTCACTGCCCTCTTAAGTTTCTGTAAACCTTTGCGGTTGGATTTGGTAGACTTTGCATTATCTTGGACAGCATCAATGATGTTTCCTACATTTTCATGCAATTTGTTAATGTGTGTTATGACTTCAGGCGTATTCTTGATTTCGCTAACAATATTGCGTTCTGTTTGTTCCTCCAAAGTCATTTCACGTGAGTCTATTAAGCTTTGAACCTCATTCGCCTTGTTGCACTCTGCAGGTCCGTCGTTCATACCTTGGATAACCAGCACATCGTTGGCTTGCTGAGCTTTCACACTTTCTCTGAACCTCGATTGTATCTCCTTAAGTTGCTCGTCGAGCTTGTCACCTTCTTCAGATGCGATTTTGAGCAGTTTTTCGAATGTATTGGCAAGTCTAATATCTTCATCTCTGCCAGGACGTCCTGGATGACCCTCACAACCAGGACGGGGACCATGGTGGTGTCCACCTGGACGACCTGGGCGATCACCGGAAACAGCGACTGCCACACAGGCAAGTACCGTAATAACAAATAGTTTCATTTTGACAAAGTACTAGATGTAGATATTCTATAGTTTCACACTTTTATAGTTTCGAATATTATCAGTTGCGGCGTGATTTTACATTCCACGTCATGTGAAGCACTTAAAATGTGCATTTTGATCATGTAGTTGCCTCGAATAAGATTATTATAACAGGAAAATTCCCAAAAATAGGAAATATAGCATGATTGTCTGGTTAAATACAATCTAAAAATATTCATATAAATCGCGTTTGGTTTATGTTAAAAAGCAAAATTATTATGTACATAGATAAGTTTAGTTGTTCTTCTTTTTTGTATATGTTTACTGCACGTGGAGGTTTTGCTCGATATGCATCTTATAATTATTTATATTTTATTATAACAGTGACTTTAACGAGCCTTCTTATAAATATGCCACATTCTTGTTCCTCACTTCACAGCTTTGCGTACAACAAGCCATGTAACTATTGCGAGCGTCTACCCTTACCACAACTCGCGGGTTAGTCGTTTTTGTGTCGTCCAAGAGTCCAGTCACAAGTGCCTAGGTTTCCCTCTTTACGTGATCGCGTTCAATCACGTCGATGTCGTAATTAGTTGTTTTTACTTTTATATTGTGTAGAATACAAGGAAATTTTTAGATATTAAAATAATTAATACAATAAAATAATTAATTTTGCAAGAAATTTATTGGTGCATCATCTTTTATACATTTTTGATAAACGTGCAATCAGAACGCATTTTATATGCCTAAAGTTATTTCAATGCAGGATCTAAAGAGTGTTTACAGAATGAAACGTGCATCTATTGATTATTTGCACAGGTCAAGAATTCCCTGACCAATGTCATCAAAGAATCATCAGTCAAATCTGAATTGAGGGTGGTCACAGCGTTGCGGATAGCTCTCTGCCTGTTCCTGCGAGTTTCGTTCATTGGCCTCTTAAGGCTGGACAAAACTCTTCCATTGGTGGTGCATGGTTCTCCACAGTTTGCAATTGCGTCCCTGACGTCTTGTTCGTTGGTTGCGATTTGGTCATACAGTTCAGAAATTTCAGACTTTGCCTTAAGCTCAGCAACAATGTCGCGTTCGGCTTGTGCAGTTAGTGCTTCTTGGCGGGTAGCAACAACGGCATTTACCTCATCGATCTTATTGCATTCAGCGGGTCCTTGTTCCATGGCGTTGATGAGACGGGTGGATGATGCATTCAACAACTTCTGTTGCAGTTCTACGCGTTGTTGGAACCTGGCTTGAATTTTGGTCAATTCTCGGTCGAGAGAAGCGGCTTCGTTTGAGGCAACAGCAAGGAGTTTTTCGTAGGTGTTGGCACGGCTAATGTCAGCACCAGGACGGCCGCCAGGAGCTCCACCTGGACCACCTGGTCCGCCTGGGCCTCCTGGGCCACCTGGTGGACGACCACCTGGGCCACCTGGGCCGCCTGGTGGACGACCGCCGGGACCTTGAGCGCTAGCAAAAGCCACGCAAGCAACAACGGTAAGAATGAATAGTTTCATGTTGGTTGAACTGTACTATTTCCACAATGTGCACGCTTTTTATAGTTGGAAAAGGTAGAACCGCAGACGTCATTTTTCCAAAATTAGTATAATCTAGTTTTTAAAATGTGCATTTTAGTAAGGCGGGTGACAAATAAGTTTGCATTATCATACAATTATTCATATTCCGAAAATGAGTAATTTATTATGATTGCCAAAGCAACTTGGTTTTTTCCATTTTGCGTAAAATATGTAGTTTACTATGTGCCTAGAAGTTAAAGCAATTATATATTTTAAGTACAGAAATAGAACTAAACTTATTGCCTCCACGTTCGCATCGTACCATGTCCCAACGGAAATTAATTTAGATTAATAAGAATACAGCCCAGTCATTTGGTAGTTTTGCCTAGAAAATAGTGCGGGATTGTTGACAATTGGTATTCATATAGATTTCGAGGTGCTCTTTACGAATTTAAACTTTGCCACCTCGTATCTTGTGCGCTCGCGCCAGCATCTTGGAAAAATGGTGTCAAAAAACAGTTTTTTGACCATATCTCCTTTCCGACCATATTTACGATAAATATATCTATATAATAAATTAAACTAGAGAAAATTTCCTATAATTTATGTAAGTACCTTTTTCTTGTAAAACTAATAGTTTTAGCGTACGGGCGCCACAAAGTCTACTTCAACATTCGTTTTTGTCAAAAAATTTCCAAATCATCATGACTGGAATTTTTGCTTGCTATGATTTGAGGGTGCTCCTGCTCCCCCTCGACGAAAATGAGTCGAAAAGGAGATATGGTCAAAAAACTGTTTTTTGACACCATTTTTCCAAGATAGTGGCGCAGGCGCACAAGATACGCGTGGCAAAGTTTAAATTCGTAAAGAGCACCTCGAAATCTATATGAATACCAATTTTCAACAATCCCGCACTATTTTCCAAGCAACCACATTTTTGAGCACCAAATGACTGTACTAATAGTATGTATGAGATGAACAGAAACCAATAGGCCATGAGAAAAATTAATTGAAGATTGAATTGAGAATCGTTGAAATGCAAATCATGTTTAAATTGGGCAAAATTATTATTCAAAATAAGAAATTATTATTGATAAATATGCTATGACCACATAATATGCTTAAATATGTATGTATAGATTGCGCATTCTTATTATTTATTTTTACCGCAATTGTTTTACTGTTTTTTTTGTTTTTAATTCAAATTGAATGCATAATTAGGTATTGCTATTTTTGTTGCGAATAGTGGGATAATAAACAAATAAATATGTCCGACAATTGCACGCACAAATTTTTATTGCATAAGATGGTTTACATCTAAACCTAAAGTCTAAAACTACATCAATAAACTTTACTCAACATTTAACCCACATCTTCACAGTATCATGCAATATCCGTTTGCACTACACTGTTTCCAAATAACAGATGTTCTCAATTAGAAGAATTTACCCATTTACTTTATCATAAACCGTCATTTACCCGTCCACAGATTGATAAACCAATTATTGTAAATCTTTTTTGCAATCATCCAATAAACAAACAAGTTCAGTGAGGACTATATTATATCAACAGTGAAAGAAACGAGCTCTTGAATTAAATTTTAAAATATGTGGAATTGGGCAAAATGACAACAAATGCAGGCATGAATATAATCTCGGTATAAGAGGCATCTTAAAAATAGCAACAAAAAAATATTATTGCATTTTTAATGAAGTGTATAATAGTTATATGTTTAACTCATATAAATTACATATAAAAATATCTTTATAAATAAATGGAATTGCAATGATAATATTTATGAATGTGTTTCGTTTTCTGCTTAATAAAAGAACACAACTAGATTAGCTTGTAAACATAACAAAATCAAACACACGTCAGATGTAATATCCGTTAATATTCATGTATTTGATGCTAATCTTGCATTGTAACATTGCAAACAACTAATTATAAATTTAATAAGCCCAGAGTGTATATAAAGTCACGAATTTATTTTTTCTATACTCTCTAGTTTCAAAATGTTGCCAATTATATTTTTACTGTTGCTGGTAGTATCTTCTTGTTTAGCAAATGGAGCCGGACCGGTAGGCAAGATTGAAATTAAAAAAATTGACGCCTGTGATAATTCAAACTACCAATTGAAAATTCAATTTGATTCAAGTGCAGGCGATGGCAAAACTTTTAATATTCAATTTAAAACTACCAGGACCATAAATGAAAACTGGACGGTGAGCATTCACATATTCTATTTTGTATCCTTATTTACTAATTTTCATAACAGTTCCGAGGTGATGTTGACAAGTGGACAGGTACAGCATGGAAAACTGGAGTCATGAAAGGCGACGGAAAAATGTGCCAAGCAGCTAATGAAGCAGTTCCGGCTTTAAAGGAACGCGTATTTAAGGCTTTAAACGTGAAGAAGTGTGAACTTGCACCTGGATCATACTCGTTGAAAGCCATGAAATTCTTTGAAAAAGATATCAAAATGAAAGCGCTACCGTATGGAAAGTTCCGAATTACTGTGAAAGCATGGGACGACAAAAAGACGATTGTTGCGTGCTTTGTTGGCGAAGGCGAACACTCACCTAAGATTTAATTGTTTAAATGCAATATAAATGTATGATATAAATATATCTATGTGCAAAGATATCTTCTAAATCCCTAAATACTTGAATAACAAAGCTAGCTCCAAACATTTATAACATGTTTATTTTTACTTCAAATTCGTTTAACATGACGTACAGTCTCTTGTGTATCTGCAGGTACTTCGTGATTGATGGTATTTCAGAATATCAAATCGGTTTGAACCCTCAAAAGGAAACGCAAAGGAGAGTTTTGCTGTTTTCCTTCCCTTCAATGTAATAAGATATTACATAAATATGTGATTCAAATTCTTGATTCAAGTTTTATTGATAATAATAATTGAAACTTTTTATTTTGGAAGTAATTATAGAAGGTCGCCCTCAGCATTTTATTTTAATAAAATTTTACTGTTGGACACATAGTTTACCCGTAATTTGGTCAAATGTGATAATAATTTTCAGCAGAAAACTTTCAGTTGAAATTTATAAATTCTTCTACTGAAGTTGCAACAAAACGTTTTTACGAGCCTTTTATTTTAGTTTAGTTTCAATCTTTTAGCATAAGAAATAATAATTTCATGATTTGAATTTTATTGTTTTATTAATTTTATTAATCTAAATTCCGGGACTACTATCTGCAGCTTTCAGAGATGGCACTTGCCTGAACTAAAAGTCATAAAATAGAATTGTATTCTTTATTTCTATATTTATCAGCAAATGAGAATTGTGTTTGTTTTGAACACAATTTATATTTTCTTATCGAATGCCCGTGGGTCGTCGTTGTCATCCCCTTACGCCGCACGTAGTCACGTCATAGTTTTGTTGTGATCGCAGGTAACATGCCTGTTGCAATTCACGCACAAGGTCGCGTGTCATCGGCGGGCCGCTTCGCGCATCTAGTACTTTTACCTGGGTTCATGCTGCAGGCACATTGTCGTATAGGCAAGTGTCGTATCGTTGCTTGCGCTATTGATGGATTGCAGCCAGTTTCGTGCCGGTCGCTGGCTCGTGTAGACGTATTTCGCGCGACTCGTATCGTTTTATTGGACTATTATTTTCTAAATTTGCATTGTATTCGGTCATCAATTGACTATTTAATTGTAACATGCAAGTACGAGGTCCCCTGGTACTTGAGTAAATAACTTATATTAGACATGCGCTACTCAGCACAGAATGTTTGTTTTCTCCGATGTATGAATATAATATTATATTGTATGCAATGTTTTTAGTTTAACTTATATTTTATATTAATTGCAGTACTTGCTGTGCCCTAGCAATCCAATGAGCACTGCATTGGTATGTTTTTATTAAGTTATATTATTCGGTCAAATGATTTATAACCTGCGTGTTGCAATAGCTCGCGACTTATGGGTGCCTTGTTTATTTTAATTGCGGGTAATATAGAAAACGAAAGAAACGACAAAGTTTGCTCGTTTTTCGCGTTTTTCAAAACACACGGTGGAAAACAGGCCATATCTCGGCAACCCTTAGTCATATTTTAGTTTTTTCTTTATTTTATGATAGGACAAAAGTGCATTTTTACAATTCACCTCTGAAGCTCTGCGAAATTTGATCATAACTACCTTAAAATGGCTGTTAAAGTTATTCCTTTTCTTGCAATTTTCCAAACAAGCGGTGGTAAACAGGCCATATCTTGGGAACCCTTTATGATATTTTAGTCATTTCTTTATTTTATGATAGGACATTAGTGAATTTTCAAAATGCACCCCTAAACCTTTGCGACATTCGGTCGTAACAGCCTCAAAATGGCCGTCAAAGTTAGGCATTTTCTTGCAGTTTTCCAAACATGCGGTGGAAAACAGGCCATATCTCAGGAACCTTTTATCATATTTTAGTTTTTTCTTAATTTTATGATAGGGCAAGAGTGTATTATTAAAATGCACTCCTCAACCCCCGCGAAATTTGGTCGTAACTGCTTCAAAATCGCCGCCAAAATTAGGCCTTTTCTTGCAATTTTTAAACCATGCGGGGGAAAACAGGCCATGTCTCGGGAACCCGTCGTGACAGTTTAGTTTTTTTCTTTATTTTATGATAGGACATTAGTGTATTTTTAAAATGCACCCTTGAACTCCCGCGAAATTCGGTAGTAACAGCGTCAAAATGGCCCTCAAAGTTAGGCCTTTTCTTAGAATTTTCAAAACCCGCGGTGGAAAACAGGCCATATTTCGGGAACCCGTCGTGATAGTTTAGTTTTTCTATATTTTATGACAGGACATTAGTGCACTTTCAAAATGCACCCTTGAACTCCCACGAAATTCGATTGTAACAGCCTCAAAATGGTCGCCAAAGTTAGGTTTTTTTTTGCAATTTTTTTAACAGGCGGTGGAAAACAGGCCATATCTCAGGAACCCTTTGTGATATTTTAGATGTTTATTTATTTTATGATAGTACAAGAATACATTTTCAAAATGCACCCTTGAACCCCCGCGAGAGTCGGTCGTAACAGCCTCAAAATGGCCACCATAGTTACGCCTTTTCTTGCAATTTTCAAAACACGCGGTGGTGTACTCAGCGCAGTTTTGTGTCGATCGTGGAAAGAGTCGGACGTGTTTTTCGCGTTAGTAATCCGGATAAGGGTATTTGGTAGTTGCAGCACTGTTGTCAAGCTTTAACTCGCAAAAAGGATGTCTCTAGAGGTGTTAAATTAAATTTTCCGTGAGGTTGTATTAATTTGTTGCGGGAATGCCGAATGGTAAATTCGAAAATTGGGGTGTTAAATGTCGCTATAGCTCGCGAGAGAGGCGGCTTAGAAATTTTCGCGCGATCTTTAGAGATGTCAAATTAAAGTCTCCGTCGGGTTGTACTTGTTTTATGCAGGAATTCGACCTGCATCCTGGAAAAATTTGCATGAAAGGGTGATTTTTTCAACAACTAGATGTTTACGTCGACTGACCATTTTCTTTTCTGCTTAGTCGGTCGTGTGCGGTGGTGTCGTGAACACGTGTTTTGTTTGCGCGTCTATCTGTATAGTTATTAATCGGATTTCTTGAGATGTTATTGTAATAGTGGCATGAATGACAGCAAGTGTGGCTTATAGTTATTGAATTGTCGCCCATGAAATCTGAAAATTCTATAGAATTCTTGGATTCTCGTGGAGATGTGTCACGTTTTTGGGGATTATAAGTCGGTAGTTTAATTAATATCGGTCAGGACGGATAGAATTTAGCATTGATATAGGATAACCTATGTATGCGACGTGTAATTAATAAGTTATCGCGCGTGGAAGTATAAATTAAGTTGTTATTTCAATGTGTGCATGTGTTATCAGTCGCCCATCGGATATCTCTCGTCGATACGAAGAATTCTTACTGGCTTTATAAATTTTTGTGCATTTTTTAAATAATTCAATCGTGGAAATATACCACGATTGTTTTCCGTGTTGAATAAAGTCCGTATAATCTTTTCCGTACCACTTTATGAAGATTAAACAGTCAAATAAGTGTAACTTATAACTTAAGTAACATTTGTAAGTAACTGTGAATACATGTGCTTAAATTTCATGTATCAGAATTAAATTTGTATATGTACTGTCTTGATCATATGAGTTTGAATAAAATATAATTTAATAGTATATTTTGAATCAGTTATCTCTCTGTGTTCCTATGGTCGTTTTCAGAATTAGATTTAAAGATCATATTTAATTACGCGTGTTTGAAATGAACATACATTTATACCTGAAACGAATAGAGTTTGATAAGTGAGCGTTGTGGCTCAGGTGGCATGTGCATATGCTAGCATGCTGGAGGTTTATGGATCGAGTCTCAGTTGTAAAATTCAAGATTGAAATGTAAGAAATAACACGAAAAGCAGAATACGACGAAGCAACAATAGGAATAAGTAGAAGATGGTGGAGGAGTAAGAAATGGGAGGAGGAAGTAGAGAACAGCAGCAGGAGAGAATAGGAGAAATAAGAAGGGAAGAAGAAGAGAGAGTACAGGAAGAAAAGAGAATAGAGGTGACAGAATTTTAAAATGTTTTGCCGGCGTGTCATTCTTTAAGATGCTTCGATGCGTTCATTGCTCCCGGCCCATCCTACAGCTACGACGTCTCTGCGCTTCATCCCCAGGATTCTGAGGTATATCAACAATTTTTATGGGGGGAGAGAGGGAATTCCTTATAAGGATTTGTAAATATATTTCTAAGTTTTAAGTCGCCTCAAGAGAAGTGACATATCCTCACAAGTTCTGACCTGTAGCTGAAATTGAAATGAAAGATGGAGTACACAAATCATACAAGATACCTTAACAATTTTTATAGTGGGGATCATCCCCTGAGAGAGGGAACTAATCCTGAAATGGTAAAAGGGGTAAACACGAATCAAAGAAGTCAATATATCTTACTATTTCTTTATTAACAATAGAATACAAGTTTAGATTTTACAAGTCAACAAAATACCTGCCGCCATAATCACACAGAACTTCGACCTGCATCGTCGCGTACTTGTAAGCAAGTAACACGTCAAAATGTTCTACCGGGATAAAGAAATTAGCAAATAATGATGGAAAATTGAAACAAATATACAGGGTGTTCCAAAAGGAAAAAATTAAGTGCAGACAGGAAAAATCTGAACACTCAAATATCGCTGGTTCTTCACCGTTACTCTGAGAAATAAATATACAGGGCGTTGCAAAAAGAAAATTCGAAGTGCAAGTAGTTAAATTCTAATAACAAAACAAAATTTTCAGGTAAAGGAAAACGATTATAGAAGGTGTCACAAATAGAAAATTCCACCATCAAAGAGAAAAACATCAAAACACTACAAATATTGCTCGTGTTCACCCAATGCTCCGGGAAACTAATAAACAGGGTGCTACAAAAGGAAAATTTTTAAAACTTCAAATATGGTCAATATTCACATCATGACGAGAGAAATTTATACGGAAACAAATATATTTTAACATAAATTCAAAGATTTTACCCGAAAATCATCGGATAATTGAGTAAAACAGGTGCTACAATAATAAAACACTTACATTTTAATATAATTAATATTTGTGTATATATTTATCACTTGATGATTGCATAAACTACATAAGGTAACAGACG